TTTTTAACATAACTTCTATTAAAAACTTTAATTACACTAAATGGGCACTTAGTTCAATGCCGCTACTTTCCTAGGCAAGCAATAAAGATATTGAAAATGGGTAATTAGTTGATAATATTTAGAGACTGTTGAGTTAATGTTTTATATGACTATCATAAAGATATGTTGTAAATAAATATTATCAATAAATTATTATTGAAAAACAATGTTACTAGTGTCACCCAAGAACATTTAACCAAAAAAAATTCAACGAGTGTTCGGGAGAACTTAAAATGTAAATTTGAATGAAACAATATTTTCTTTCGTAAATTTAAAATTTATTAAAGGGTATTTGAAAATTAATTTTTTAAATAATTTTTTAACAAATTTTGAAAAAGCTAAATCGTTCATTTTATTGGTACAATAGCTTTTTGGCTTTTAACACATCATTTTATATTAGGAAAAATATTAGATTGCTCTTTTTATTGATACAACGTATTAGGCTTAATTTTGTTATTAATAAAAGTTGAACCGAGGGATCACATACAAAATAAAGAGATAACTTTGACATGTTTGAAGTTATTACCATATTTTAAAGTTTTCATATTATTTAAATATTTTCAGAAGTTTTTCATATTCATGGTTTTTCTAGCCTTCCCTTATTGAATTTTTTGTTTTAATTTATAAGATGAAAGTTGATTCAAAATCTGAATTTTTTATTTTTTTTAGAAAAAATTTTCATTCAATTATATAAATATGAACTTTATATGATTGATTTTACTTAGAATACCTCTAAAGCATATTTAACTCATAGTAAACAATTTAAATAATTTAATGATTATTTTTTTTCGTTAGAAATAATAGATCCTGAGTTTGAGTCGCATAGCATGCGAGTAGGGTGAGATAAGAGAAGAGAGACAATTACCTCTCATTGTGCAATCAATATCAAAAAAAAGAGAGCATATTTAAGCCATAAAAAAGTAATTAATATAATTTTGATGCATATTTTATTTCATATTTGTGCCATTGAAAAAAAAGAAATTTTCCGCAGCTGGGATTTGAACCCAGATTTCCAAGACATATAGAAATTGCCAAAGCGCTACTGCGGACATACTGTAGAGGGTTGACAAATTTTTTTATTTATAATATTTCCAATGCTTTGATAT